GGGCAGGTGGGCTAGGGGAGGGATAGCATCAGGAAAAATAGCTGATGCGTGCTGGACTTAATACCTAGTTGGTGGGATGCTAGGGACAGCAAACCACCATGGCACACGTTAACCGATGTAACAAATCTACACATGCTGCACAGGTACCCCGGGACTTAAAATAAATAAATGCATACATACAAATAAAAAGAAAATAAGCATTTTTTCAAAAAAATATTAATTCAAAATAACAGACTTAAATGTAAAATGTAAAGCAACTGAATTTTTAACAAATTTTTTAATCTTAAAAAAAAATAAAACAAGGAAAAATCTTCAGGACTTAGCATTTGGCAGAATTTTTCGACTTCACACCAAAAGCATAGTGCATAACTGGAAAAATTCACAAATTGAACCTTATCATAATTAAAAACTTCTGCTTTGTAAAAGACCCTGTTAGAAGGATGAAAAGATAACCTACAGGCAATCAGAAAATATTGGCAAACTACATCTCCAAAAAGAATTAATATTTAGAACATACAAAGAATTCTCAAAATTCAATGAGGAGAACATAAATAATTATATTATAAAATGTACAAAAATATGGACATTTTACTGATGAGAAGAGAGATGGCAAATCAACACATGAAAATTTTAATCACTAGCCATTAGGAAAATGCAAATTAAAATCACAATGAGTTATCACAATATGCCTACCAGAATGGCTACAATTAAAAGTAGTGACAATCGCAAATGCTGCAAGGATGTGGAGAAATCATACATTGCTGGTGGGAACATCAGATGGTACAGCGACTTTGAAAAATAGTTTGGTACGTTCTTATAAAACTAAGCACAAAACTACCATTCAATCCATATTCACTCTTGCACATTTATTCCAGAAACATAAACTTATGTTCACCAAAAATTGAATACGAATGTTCATAGAAGTTTCCTTTTTAATATCCCCAAACTGGAAATAATATAGATGCCTTTCAACAAGTGAATAAATATTGTGGTAGTTCATACCATGGAATACTACACAGCAAAAAAAAAAAAAAAAGGCATGAACTATGGATATGTACAACACTTGGATGGATTTCAAAGGAATTATGCTGAGTGAAAAATCCAATTCCACAAGGTTCTATACGGTATGATTTCATTAATATTGCATTAATAAATTAACAAAACTATAAATATAAAGGACAGATTAGTAGTTGACAGGGGCTTGCGATTGGAGTTGGGTAGAGATGGATGTAGCTATAAAAGAACAATAGGAGGGGCCCTTGAGATGACGGCATTGTTCTGTATCTTGACTGTATCAATGTCAATATCCCGATTATGATACTGTACCACAGTTTCACAAAATGCTACCACCGAGTAAATCTGGGTATGGGATCTCTCTATGTTATGTCTTGCAACTGAATATGAACCTGCAATTATCTCAAAAATAAAATTTTAATTAAAAATAGGGTGCTAAATAACGTAGCATGCTACCATTTGGGGGGCACTGGAATGCTTCCACATGTACCAGCCAGCTTTGCATATGAAACTGCTAATAGTGCATAACTATGAAAAGGGGAATTAAAAAGTTGGAGGTCAAGAATATGGAACTATTATTTTATTTTATTTAATTTTTAAGAGACAAGTCCTTGCTCTGTTGCCCAGGCAGAAGTGTAGTGGTGTGATCATAGCTCACTGCAGCCTCAAACTCCTGGGCTCAAGAAATCCTCCCACCTTATCCTCCTGAGTAGCTAGGACTACAGGTGCACACCACCACACCAGGCTAATTTTTCAAAAGTTTTATTTTTGTAGACACGAGGTCTATGTTATGCAGGCTGGACTCGAACTCCTGGCCTCAAACAATTCAACTGTCTCGGCCTCCCAAAGTGCTGGGGTTACAGGTATGAGCCACCACATCTGGCCACCAAATTTTTATTATTTTAAAAGTAAACTTGTTTTTATATATGGCCATAAAAGAAGACAAAAGAAATTGTTACATAGTTTTCCTTCATTCTCTTTTTCATATAAAAAGGAAAAATATAAATTTGAGTAAACTGAGTAAAGAGCCAAGAAGTATGGAGCAAAGAACTGTGTGGTATTATTCTGTCCAAAATAGATATTAAGAGAAGGAAATAATAAAGTTCTTGTTCATTATAATGATAGTAGACTTAAATGTTTCCATTATGTATGCCATTTCATTGCATATATTCAAGTGTAAATGGAAATTAGTTTTATATGAAAAGCTTGATAAACAATTTCATTGAAAAGTTAATACTCTATATTGATCAGAAAGACTAGAACCTAGAATGGATGCTAACATTTTCAAGGCTCTAAAATTCTTTGCAAGTGAATTATTTAAAAACTAATGGTGACAGTTTAGTGGCTTGATAGCTAGCAATATGCCAAAATGTCAGTGACTCAACTGACAGCCCCTGAGCGCCTCTCACATCAACACCAAGCCATGCTATTTCAAATGCTGTTTGTAAAGACTTTTGAGTACCCCTTTCCAAATTGGACAAGGAAGATGCAACAACACTCGCTTCAAATCGATTGGCATATTCGAATTTCACTGACAAAAGTACCTCTTCCTGCTGTTTATCCCTTTCTCTAGATTGCCACTTGACACACATAAACTTTCAAGTATTTGTCTTTTAGTTGCACCTTTTATTAAAATGTAGACATATGAACATATGGCAAGTGTCAACATTTTGGAAACTTTTCAATCTTTCATTCATTATTGCAACTGGAAATTCAGAGGCTTTTTTTTTTTTTTTTTAGACAGAGTTTTGCTCTTGTTACCAGTGCAATGGCGCGATCTCGGCTCACCACAACCTCTGCCCCGCGGGTTCGAGTGATTCTCCTGCCTCAGCCTCCCGAGTAGGTGGGATTACAGGCATGCGCCACCACCCCTGGCTAATTTTGTATTTTTAGGAGAGACAGGGTGTCTCCGTGTTGGTCAGGCTGGTCTCAAACTCCTGACCTCAGGTGATCCACCCACCTCGGCCTCCCAAAGTGCTGCGATTACAGGCACAACCCACCATACATGGCCCTTCCAGAGGCATTTTAATGCAATTTCTCAGAGTATTGGATCATAGTGTAATTTAAATACATCAGAGAACTGCAACCTCAGTGTTTGTAAAATTCAGATTACTATGTGAAAACACCATTAGTTTTCCACCAATAATGAGTGACGAAATGTAGTGTTGTACTATGGACATCCAGCTCAATTCTAATGTCAGATAAATGAGGACAAGCATTTGCCTATCTTGAAGAATCATCTCACCACATGCATGAACAATCAGAAATAATGATTATTTAAAAGAAACATAGCAGATATGAAATTACAATCTAATTACTATTGGTCACATGGGAACAGCTAGTCCAAACAGTATTCTTTAACTGTACTAGTATGACAGTTATTGATCTGTACCCCTACAAAATCTCTACGTTTATTAAGAGTTATGTTTAATCATAAAAGGATTAGTAAACCCTAAGAGAAAGAAGAAGAGTTGCCAAAGGAATGATGCATTTGTTTGCTTATTTATTTTTGAGATGGAGTCTCACAATGTAGCCCAGGCGAGAGTACAGTGGTGTGATCTTGGCTCACTGCAACCAAACAGCTGGGATCACAGGCACATGTCACTATGCCTGGCTAATATTTTGGATTTTTAGTAGAGATGGGGTTTTGCCATATTGGCCAGGCTGGTCTCTAACTCCTGGTCTCAAGTGATCTGCCCTACTCTACCTCCCAAAGTTCTGGAATTACAGGCATGAGCCACCGCGCCTGGCCAGATGTATTTGTTCTTTCAAAATCCATTAGGCATTTTCCCCAAAAACAACACTTTACAGATATTAATTTATATTTTCCAACATTAACATAATATATGTTGTCAGTGTTAGAAAGATACATTTCTGTTTAACTTTTATGCAACTTGACCTATTTCAATGTCCTAGCACACCTGTAGCCATGACTCAGCTTACAGGTAATTCTTACAGATGACAGTGAGAGGGAGGCATGATATTCATGACAGGAGTGTTAGCTGCTAATCAGGATTTCAGAAGTGGTAAATTTTTCTTTGAAAAAGATACTAGGTGATTCTGAGACTTTCTCTGAGTTTGGGTATCAACTACTTTAGATTCTTCTTTATTTCTCTGAATAAGCCCAAATACAGAAAGCCAAATAAATAGATTTAAACACACCTACTATATGACTATACCCAGCTTTGCTAATGTTCTAATAGTACAATGACATACACGATCATTCACGAAGGGTGTGATACACAATCCATGGGGGACTAAATGCTTAAACTGAGGTTTTTAACTGCTAATGTGTTGCATGGACACTGCTTCAATGCATTATCATTAAACAAAGTGCATATGCCTCTTCTAGAAGCTGACAAAGATGTGTAGATGTATGGTGAGTATCCTTGGGGATACAGGGACTGAATTTGTTATTAACTTTGGTATAGGCCCTGAAAGACTTGGGAACATTTTTGTATTGATCCAGAAGTTTTGGTTAGCAAAGCAATCTGGAACACAGTCTTCATTTTCTCTAACATGGTAATACTTTCTTCTTCTCCCTGTGCACATACACACATTACCTAAATCATCTTTCCAAATGTGTGTGAACCAGAAGTATCCATGCTCTATCTGTCTGTGAAGGGCAATAACAAAATGTTACAACTCATTTAGCAAGAAACTATGCATGTATTCTGCAAGTCATTGCTTACATTTTATTTGCACCATTTTACTTCCTCTATAAATTTTATTTCATAGTTTTTAGTAATTCCTGGTAACATAAGTAGCTACCCAGAAGGTATCTCTTTTCTCCATAAGCTAGAAATAATGTCTAATATAAATTCCAATCCCATCTTTCTATGATTGTGATTCTAAATTTTAGAAAGCAGCAACACATGCAAATATTGAGACAACAGCTTTAGGCAAAAGAGATAGCAGCAACATTTAAGTATGAGAAAGCAGCCTGTGATTTCTTTGATTCAGCAGTAATATAATTAAAGGGATACCTGATGACACAGGCATAGAGACCGCTGTCCTGTAGCAATGTTGGCCGGAACCAAATGGAGTCTTCTTCTTTGCTCATTCTACTTCCATCAAAGGCTATTGGCTCTTCAAAGTCTCCAGGACCAGAACTTTTGTACCACATCAGACTGAGTCCAGCACTTTGGGCAAGGGAGTAATTTGCTCTGATATAACCATAAAAGAGTGCACATTTGATTCGAACAGGCTCTCCCACCAAAACTTGGTATTTCTTGATATCGATAGACCAATCAGTGCATCCATCAGCTATAGTAAAAAAAAGAGAGAGAGAAAGAGAGGAAAAACATTAGAAGGAAAAAATAAGCAATTAGATTATTCATTCATCCAACAAATATTTACTGAGCATCCATATTGGGTCAGGTTTAATTCTAGGCACACAGCACACAGCAATGAATCAAACTAAGAATGGCCCTGCAAAGTAGTGGACTCTGCTAAAAAACAATGTATTGTTCACTTAGTCTGCTTCTGCTGTCATTTATTATTAGTTTATACCAGTGTGCTGGTTATTGATTTATTGCCTCTTAGTTCTAAATGTACCTTTCTGCCTGCTCGGTAAAAATAGATCTGGGCCTTTGAGATATGTTTTTCTTTACTAGCTGGCACTGAAGCTTGGTGGAGAGAGGGCACTGGTGAGACATTTCAGGAAGAAAGGGATTTACTTCCTATTTTCAGTGTGCTCACTTGGCAGGCTCTTGCAGTGTGCAAGGCTTCTTCAGCACCTGGCTCCAACAGTGCTTGGCAACCAGCAGCTTGGCGATGTTTCCCAGGTACCTTAGAGGGAGGGTCTCTGTTAACTTGCAGAAGACAGATTTCTGACAAGTTCTGCTAGTATAGCAACTTAGTGATTTCTGCCATTCGGTAAACTATGGTCGTACCTTCCCAATAAAGTGCGGATCTCTGCTTTGGGGATGAAAACATAGGGACTTTTTCTTAGGTGTGCTGTCTCAGCCCCAGGGCTAATGGTAGCCATTCCTCTATTTTTAAGGGTTCTCTTTTGCTATACTCTGAATGTTTATGCCGTCCCCTGAAAATCCAAATGCTGAAGCCTTAACCCTCAATATGACGGTATGTGGACATGAGGGCTTTCTTTGGGAGGTAATTAGGATTAGATGAGGAGCGTCATGAGAAGGACACTCTTGATGAGATTAGTGCCCTTATAAGAAGAGACACCAGAGAGCTTTCTCTTTCACTCCATCGTGATTACAAAAAAGAGATCACGTGAGCACACTGCAAGAAGGTAGCCATCTGAAAGCCAGAAACCAAATTGGCTGTACCTTCATCATGGACTTCCCAGTCACCAAAACCGTGAGAAATAAATATCCTTTGTTTAAGCTACTCAGTCTATAGCATTTTGTTATGGCAGCCTGAGCAAACTAATACATCTTTCTTTCACATTAGCCAATCCCTTCATTACTATAATCCCATGTTACATTTAATAATTATTTGTATAAACTTTCACTGTTCAAATGACTGTGTTTTTTCTCTGACTGGACCTAAACTGATACAAGTGAGAATAAATATTTTACAGCCAAACAATATAGAAATCAATAAAAGTGAGTTGAGCTCTGGTAGTGTTTTTTTTCACAGCCAGAGACAGACGTAAACAGTCACTTTGCTCTGACTTCTGGGAGAATCGGAGAAGTGTAAACAAGAAACCATGTTGGGAAATGGGGAAGATGGGGGTGGGGTGTGATTGGGTTTTCTGTGTTTTCTGTAGGTACCATCTTCCAAATGACATCTTGACACCATTTTTAGATCACCCCTCTCCCTGCACACACATACAAAAAAACAGGTTCCCACAGGGCATCAACATTATCATCATCATGGAAAAGTTGTGAATTTACTGTTTAGAGAGGGCAGTTGCCCAACACTTAGCAAGAAAATCAATTTGGCATTACTCAGAGTATACAAATGTTGAGCAAAAGGGCAAAGACTGAGAAAACAGGACCTCTGACAGCAATAACATTTGAGTATTGCAAGCAGGGTTAAACTCACTACAAATTAAAAAGAGGGCAATCTAACAACTCTGAGAACAGGATAAATAATACAGTATTCCAGAGAAGAAAAATGGTCTAGATGAAAAGGAGGATGTACATTATAGCAAGGAAGACACATAATAACATGTGGAATTAATTATCCACATTTATTATCTTTAAATTATATCTAACATCTAATAAGCACTTAACGGTGTGTCAGGAGTTTATAAACTTTCATTTACTATTCACAGAAATACAAACTGAGGCGTTTGAACTTGCTCTTCCCTCAGCCTGGAACATTTTTTGCCAACCAACAGCATGGCTTTCTCTTTCGTTCTTGCCAAATATCACCTCCTCAGAGAGGCCTTTTTGCCTTCCCATCCTGGTCACTTGATCCAGAGTAGGCCTTGATATTTTTTTCACAAGACCTATTGCTATTTGATATTATATTATGTAACTACCTTGCTTTCTGTCTCCCCAGTTGAAAGTAAATCCCTTGAGAGCAGGGATGTTGTCCTTTTCACTTCCCTTTTTAGCCACAGTGCCTAGAATTGTGCCTGCTAACCAGCTTAGCATACATTTACTAAATGAATAAATGAATGAATGCTTGAATAAATAAGCAAAATAAACAATTGAATTACCAAGTTATACACTTGAAGAAACTCCATGTCGGCTAATAAGGGTGAGTGCTGGGTTCTCACCCAGATTTATCTGAACCTAGAAATAATTCTCCCTACTGTCACATATTGTTTACTAATAAATGTGTCAATTTCACAGCCTTCTTTGATTTAGTTAATTTCAATTACCAAATTTGGGTTTAAAATTTTTACAAAAGGGCTGTATGGAGGTACTATCTACAGTAAATATGCTGCAAGCTTGGTGGGCATCATCAATGTCTAAGTCATTGTCATAATTCCTGTCAATGACTACTGTAGAGCTGGCACACCATGTTAAACAGGATGAAAAAACTACATAGAGATGTCCAAGTTATATAATTTCATATATTTATCAAAACAGTTTTGTATATTTTCCCATTGCATAAAATGAATTCTAGGTGGTAATTTTTTAAACAGTTATAATTTTGATTATAAGTTTAAAATTATTTTGTTTTACCATTATGTAAATTACAATAGAATCAAGTTAATATAACTGACTATCTGTCATGGAGGGTATCACTGCTAGTGAAAAAGGTTGAAAAACCTTCAAGGTTGGAGTATATAAACCATATGATAAAATTATTCGAGTCTCAGAAGATTTGTAGTATAATGCAAAATGCTTGAAGGGAAGCAAAAAGATTTAGTCTAAAAAGTTTTAAAAAGTTAGTAACAAATTAGATCGAGAGACTAGAAGAGAGAGTTGTGCTGACAACGCATAAAGATATTAATACACACTTTCAGAATATGCTTTCTGAGAAAATGTTGGAAGAAAATCACAATTATTACTGAAAATTACTCTTACTCCATACTTAAATATTAGTCAGGAAAAAAGTTTCATACGGTTCAACGTCATGTGCCAAAGAAAAGTTAGAGGCAAAATGAAGGAATGGCACTTTGGACATTAGAGAAACTTGGTGTTCATTTCAATATGGAAACAGATGGAGGATCTATGGCTTAGGAGGTTTTACTACCATTAAACTAAATGCATGCTGTTCAAAAATAAACTTAAGTTAAAATGGTTCAATAATTCCTGGGGAAAGATGGCAAACACTATAAAGAACAATTCAAGGCATACTCAAATTATTTAAATAAATTTTTTTTTTTCCCCCCAGAGACGGAGTCTTGCTCTGTCGCCCAGGCTGGAGTGCAATGGCAGGATCTCGGCTCACTGCAACCTCCGCCTCCCAGGTTCACGTGATTCTCCTGCCTCAGCCTCCAGAATATCTGGGACTACAGTGCATGTCACCACGCCCAGCTAATATTTGTATTTTTAGTACACACACGTTTTCACCATGTTGGTCACACTGGTCTCAAACTCCTGACCTCGTGATCCGCCCGTTTTGGCCTCCCTAAGTGCTGGGATTACAGGCGTGAGCCACCGTGCCCGGTCTGCATAAAATCATTTAAACGAATGATAGATGTAGGTCTTCCTTCAACAGTTACAATAAAACATTTTAATAAATGAAAGAAGTGATGAAGGAGATATAATTTTTTCCTTTGTTAATGTTTTGCCTTATTTCCACACATGTTCTGTCTTACACCTTGCATGTTATATTATTGTTTCTAAACCAGTTGAAAATAATTTAGAGACTTAATGATATTTCATCCCCAAATACTTCCGTATGTATCTCCTTCGGAATAAAGACTTTCAAAATATACCCACAAAGTGTATTTGTTAACCTTGTGTAGTGAGACCTTTAAAATCTTAAAAGGATATGTGATAACTTACAATCTAACTCCTGATGAACAGAATTGCTGTTGATCCATTCAGTTTTTTCTTACTTCAGCCCACAAGCTTTGTTGGCTTGGGAACAATCATTCCAAAACCATATTTCTAGACACTGTTGATTTCATTGCACATTAATTATATGTAATTTATCTAACTTTTATTGTTACTAGTTTTTAAAACTATCATCAGGTAATTGTAGACACTGGTAGTATTTTATCTGGTTTTCTCCCTTTTGGAATAAAATACCTTTCTATAAGTCTCTCTCAGAAAGTTTGTTATTGGTACTCTCCATCCCTGATGGGAGGGTTCTATGGAAATACTCCAGTTCAACATATCTCTGCAGTACACGTTCTTTCACAGTCAATGGGAGTTTATGAAAGAAGCCATGAAGTTACATTGGGGAGTGGGAGTAAGAAGTACCATGTTCATTCATTTTTGTTACCACCCATAAAGTTCTGGGAGCTTATATGAAGACAGTAATGGAATTAAGATTCAGAAGTAATTCCTTCACTAACGATGTACTATGAAGAAAAGCTACCTACATTGGCTATTGTCAATATATTCAAATAAGAGTAGAGAAAGTATTTTAAATTAAGTCACTATTACTACCTATGTAAGAGCTAAAAATATTTTCATGGTAACAAACTTGAAGTTTGAATTCTTTCAAAAAAGTCTAATAATATAAACATGTTGCATACTAATATGAAAGTGAAATACTATGTTTGCAGAAGGATAAATTATGTTACTTTAAAGTAAAGTTGAGCATCCCTAATCAGAAAATCTGAAAGCCCAAATGCTCCAAAATTCAAAACTTTTTGAGTGCCGGCAAACATGATGCCACAAATGGAAAACTCTACACCTGACCTCACTTGATGGGTTACAGTC